CTTTACAGTATGTCACTATCGTAAGTTGCATGATTTTTCTAGAGTGTTGAGTGTCGGTATTTTATGTTTGGAATCTTGAGTTGCTGGGAGGGCCCCTCATCAATTTGATGATTCCAATATTAGATACCGGTGGTCAAACACTGCTTTAACATAAGATCAATGATCATGTTATTCAAAAGTATGTGGTCTTCAAGTTGCAAATGCTTATTTCTAAAATAAGTTTTAAAGTTTGATGAATAATCATTTAATGCGTTTATAATTAATGATTAATCACATGAGAGTGATTTCCTCAAAAGTATTTTTAGAATAATGTTTGAGTTTTAAAATGTCTCAAAGAAATCTTCAGAGTATTCTCAGCTTTTGGCACTCTAATTTAAACAATGTCGTACATTCTTTTTACAAAGGTAGTCCTCGTATGATTTTTCTTACCATTTGGTTACCAAAATATATTGGGTGTCATCACTTAAATTTTCTTATAATGACCTGCCAAGTAAAGTTTATATGCGTAATTCAAAAGTTTTTAATGGAACATGCTCTTAGAAGTTAGATTAGAAGAGATGAATGGGAGGATTACTCATGTATTTTTGGAGGTTTTAGTGAATACTAATACATTATTTAATGCTTATTGAATTTGTATTTGTATGTTATTATTTTTTAATTTCACCCCGCCCCCCTTCGAACATATCCTGGCTATGTCCGGGTATAGACATCGGAGTCTCTAAATACAGAGTATATTTTAATTGTTGCCAAGCATGGTGTTGTATAACATATCCAGACTTTCAATAGCACATGTGGTAGTGGGTGACAATCTTTATGATTTTTGCATAACTTGTTGAAAATGTGCATTCGACAAAGCTTTAGTGAAAGAGTAGTTTTTTTATCATTAGGCTTTTTCAATGTGATATCTAGTATTTGAAAGGTTTCATAATAAATTTGTTAAACAGATTAAAATATTGTTTTTGAGAATGAAATAAACTTTTGTAATGTTGTTAATAAAGCAAATTATAAATTTATCCTTTTAATGTTGAACAAGAGTTAAAGTTATTTTGACTGAAATGAACTCTCTTATCTATGTGTTGGTTGAGTATGTATTACTTGACATCCTAAATAAAGTAATAAATTTCTAGGTATTCATATAAGATCGAGCTAGATTGTCACAAACAACAAAAAAATTAATGCAAACAAAAAGAATTTCATACCCCTAGATGAGATTTGAACATTTTTTTAAGAGTGACACAATGATATCATTGGACCACAATATTCTACTACATATTATTCATCACATTTTATTTAAACCATTTTTCATTGAAACCATCAGGACTTGGAGCACCATTTTGATTAAGATCCCATGCAGCTTTTTTGACTTCCTCCTCCTCGGGAATACTTATCAACATATTGTTGTCCTCTAGAGTGACCAATGATGGAATAAGATGGAATAAACTGCAAGACCTCACTGGCATCAACACTATCCTCCATAGAGTAAAGTTTAGAAAAGAAATCCACGGCTTCTTGGCCAATCCGAGGTAAATCAGTGACCACCTGCCCTATAGAGCTAGTAATAGAAGATTTTTTTATTCCTGACTTTTACAAAGGAGTAAAAGAAATGGGCATTTGAATCACCGTCCTTATCAACAGAGTCCGATTTTGTTCACCCCCTCTAAGGAGGGTGAACATCACCCTCACCATACAATTCATGTCATTTGGCACTCCAATTATCTTTTTTCTTAAAACCATTATAACTTTTTTATATATAATCTGATTTTCACAAAAATATATCAGATTTAATAACTTTTTATTATCTTCCCAATGGTATCCATATTGCATATAAAAAAATATAAAAAATCTTGTTTTTCTTAAATTTATCATTAGCTGGATTTTTTTTTAAATTTTACATATTCAATATTAGTACCATATGAAAGATCATAAAAAATATTAATATAATTTTTGAAAAAAATTGAATCAAAAATGAAAAAGTTATAAGAATTGCAAAAGTTTAAACAATTGCCATGCCATGTGGCAGCCCAATAGGGTGGAGGTGATGTTCACCATCTTTTGAGAGGGTGAACAAAATTGTTCTCTTATCAACATAGCTATTTTATGGGACCAATCATCCAAATTAATTTCATAAATTATCATTTTCCAAAATCAGTTTAGCCTTTAACAATTTCTCTTTACAGAACTTGATGTCATAAAAAATGTTACCAACAACCTCGTTATTCCATATTCTCAAATCCTTTTTGAGGCGATTGAGTTTAGAGACTAGAAAAGTAGAATGTGAGAACAACATATTTTGAAAAATGAAGGCCCGAGGACGAGAAGAGGAAAACATGAGTGCACTGTATTAAAATGGGACTGTGATCAAATGAAGTTTTACTGAGAATATCCACCTTGATTTGATCTGTGAATTCTAGCATACTACATAGGTTAGGCACAAGAGCTCCCACCATCCATGCTTCTCTCTGTTGAGTAGAAAAATCAACCAGAGAACTTCATATTTGCCTTCTACTGATGTGTTCATGCTTGGCATATATAGCACTAAACCATCCAACAAAATTGCCCTTTTTAATCTTCAAGTGAACCAATTGAGAGTCCCAAACAATGTCTAGAATTACTTAGGATGAAGTAAAGGGTCGGATGAATAGAGCGTGTATTAGGATATTTTTACTTCGACGGTTTTTGAGTCCTAGATCAGATTAGGTCAAATCAGACTTCCATGGTTATAAAATACATAAAGATTAGATATTTATCATATCGGACCAAATTTAAGTAGACCTGCAAATTTCAGTTCAAGTAAAAACATGAAACAATGGCCAGAATATTACCCTTAAGGTTTACATGGACCCAGATATGACTAATTTTTGAGTTCACAAAATAGTGACCAGTCAAATGCTTCCGGCCCAATTCACGCTTCACCTACCTCTTTCATCTAAATTGTACGCTGCCACCAATAAAGAAGAAACCTAGTGCAAACCTTCTCCGCCTCGCTCTTAGCGCCGCCGCCGCTCTCCTAGTGCCGCCTCTGCTCTCCTGCCGTCGCCTCTGTCTCGTGCTCTTCTTCTCCTTTCTTCTTCGACTACTTGCAACTGAAACCAGTTAGTTTTTCCGCCGCCCACAACTGAAATCGGACGGTAGTTTCTCCGTTTCTTAGATGGACGTGCCTCCGCTGCATCTATCTTCCTCGATGGAGTGCCGCCTTCACCGGATCTGCCGTCTTCGATGGACATCGACTCCGATTTTTGCCTACCGGTGCCGGATCGCCAACTCGATGTACCACCACTCCGATTTGGAGTCTCTGGTGCCGGATCCGTCGTCATTGATGTCGGAAAGGGGCCTCAACGAAGGACTGGGGAGGGTGCTGGGGACACGGAGTAGGGAGCAGGGGATGGGTGGGGATCTAATGCGTGGGGCTAGGGGAGGGGAGGGGAAGGGGGCTGAATACGGACTGGTGCGTAGAGCTAGGGAGAGGGAGAACTGGGGACCGGAGAAGGCTGCTAGGGACAGGGCAAGCGGTAGGGATGGCAACAGTGGATGGGTAGGGGCGGCGGTGGATGGGCAGGGGTGGCGGTGAGGCGCCGAGAAACTTTCCGGTGGTCGGTTTTGATGAGGGTGGCGGCGGCATCACTGAAATATCCGTGTCACTGGGCAACTAGCGGCGTCACTGTGGCGGCGTCACTGTGACGGCGTCACTGTGATGGTGTCACTTTTGTGTGTCACTATGGGTGGGTGTTCCGGCAGCGGTCTCCGGCCTGCAGCGGTCTCCGGCCTGCAGCGGTCACCTGGGAGGAGGTCATGGTTGAAGTCACTATGTAACATGTCACTATGGCGTGTAACTATGAATGTCACTGCAGTAGTAGTTAAAATTTGTAAACTTTTCCTAATATATGACTTTATTGATCACATGTTTGTCAAAATTTAAAAGTAGTCATTTTTTTTGAAATCTGCTCTAACTTAGTAATATATAGGGGAAAACCCCTAAAAACATCCGTAAAAATCACTATTTCGCAATGTTCTAAAAGGCGTAAGGCGTGACGAGGCGGCACGTCCAAGCCTCAAGCCTTTCAAGCCCAGGCGAGTTTAGGCGGCGCCAAGGCGTGAAAAGACGTTTTGATTTTTTACTAAACATTCTAATTTTTATAGAGCCACTGGTAAATATATACATGTAAAAGTATAATGTAAAAGTATCAAAATTTTATATTTTCCAACAAAAACAAACTTGTACGAGTATAATGACACACACTTTATACACCTGGTTTGCAAAAAAAAATAAGAGAGTAAAACATATCAATAGTAATGATACCGCAAATAATACGTAGTACTCCGTATATAATAATAATAATAATAATAATAATAATAATAATAATAGTAATAATAATATTAATAATATTAATAATATTAACAACATTAAAAAGGTGGTAGTAGTAGTAGTGATAGTAAATTCACCAAAGATTGGGATAATGAGAAGTGATGTGACTATTAAGAAAAACGAATTTGTGTGATTGATATTAAAATTAGTAAAATTAATGAATTATAATCGTTCAAATATTATCAAATATGATATGAAAAAATTTAGTGGAACAGATCGAAAAAAATGAAATGACACAAAGAAGGTGATAAGAGTATATTATAATAATTATATAAAAACATAATAGTAATGATAGAAATATTGAAATACGGACTAATATAATACTAGTATTGATAATGTAGAGGAAATAAGGGTTATTACTATTCATCATAATCCAATAAACAACTTAACTACGGAGTATATCACACATGCAATATGAAAACCATATATTGAGTGCAAGTGAGTGAGGTGGAAGTGGTTCCTAAATCCTAATGTAATCAATCAACTAGCCGGAGTATTGGTAATTCGTAAACTTCACTCGGTCCATCTTTGTTCCCACACCGGAACTAGAGGAACCAATTCCTCCTTCCCACATCTATATAAAGGCACTTGTGCCACATGTTAGATTTAAGTAAAGGCGCCTTCGCGGTGGTCTATGGCATAGTCTTGCCAAAAAGCTTTTCCTGCCGGAATAGAAGCTTCTAGTAAATAAATAATTGATTTTTTATTGCTTTTCTCGCCTTTCAGCGTGCCTTCAAGGTGTGCGGGGCTTTTAGTGGCCGCCTGGCGCCTAGGCACGCCTATGCGGCGCTTAATGCCGTTTTTTAGAACACTGCTATTTCGACATTTTATATACTCAATAATTTCTTTTTTATTAGATGGAACATCTCTTGCCCGAGTTGAAATGGTGAAAAATGTGCCGTACGATTGCAGCACCACTCAAAGGTCGGTTGCCAAGCATATGCTCGAAGGCTGCAATTCCATACGCTCCGGTATTATTCTCCGCCACCACCATCCTACTCAGACCACGGCAGTGCTTCACTCGAGCAGCCATGACTACCAATCCGAGCTCAAGCGCCTCCGATTTAGACGCGGTCTTCGCTCAGAAGAAGGCTCTTCGATCCAAACTCAAAAAAGATTTAAAGTCCATGGATCCCTCCCTCAGGTCCCAAGAAGGTATGCCATTACTTTCGCCCTCACACAGACCTGTGTCTATTTGTTTATTGGTTAATTTGTGATTGATTCCAGATGAAGAAATACAGAATGCAATACTTAAAGCTCCTTGGTTCAGAGATTGTAAGAGGCTTTGTGCTTATATTAGCTGTAGCGCCCTTAGAGAAGTTGATACTTCAACCATACTGTCAGAAATTCTTCAGACGCAAAGGAAAGGTGTGTTTTTTATATTATTCTACAAGGGAATTGCATAATTATCGCCCTCACTGTTGCTCTCTTAATTTTTGCAATAGAAATGGAACCGTTAGTGGCATTGATATTTTGCTAGAATAACTGTTTTAAAAAACCATCCAAGCTCAGTTAGATTCTAGGTCTCAGTTATCTGAATTCAGCCTCGCCCAGGACCTGATTGATCACCGCATAAGCCCACATAGAAACTACTTCCTAGCCTAACTATTGCCTAGGGATAGCCTAACGCTTCTTAGAACACTTGCCAGAATATGTTATCGATAAACTAATTTTGATTCCGTCTAGAAATGCGTCAATTATGGCTGAAGTGGCTGAATTATGGGAAAATTATATTTAAAATATACTCTGTATTTTATTAAGAAAACAAAGAATAACTTATAAGGAAAAAGCTAAAATTATCCTCTTACGCAAATTCAGCAAGAAAAGTAACTTCAATTGTTCAATCGTACTTATTATGCTGTTTACAAAATTCAGTGCATTGAATTAAAAGTTTTTTGTGGTATAAAAATGGTTTTGTAAGGATGATAACTCGAAAACAGGGGTTAGCAAATAATAGGCTCTTAGTAGCTCTTTTGAGCTTTTCAATTGAACTTATTAGTTCAATGAGACAACATTAAATGGTTGCAATAGCATAAGAAATTATATGATGCTTTCCTTTCAAGGATATGGTGGCTTGATTTTTGCGCTGCTGAAACAAATGCTTTTTCTTCTTCTTTTTAGTGTGAATTTTCTGCACGTTCTCTAACAAAGTAAAATGTTGTGTTATTGTATAATATGAATAAGACGGGGTTATGCAGATCAAAAGAAGCTCTATGTTCCACGTGTGGAGGATAGTAACAGAAATATGCGAATGCTGAACATCTCAAGCACTCAAGATTTAATAGCAAATTCAATGAACATTTTGGAACCAGGACTGATTGATGACGAGGGAAACCAACGCGAAGATGGTACATTTTCACCTTCTTTGTTTTCATTTGTAAGATGTATTAGCTATAGTTTTTGCAAAATGGCAATAACAGACATAATATGTTCTATTGAATTATTGATTTTATTTGTTGTGGGGTGCGGGCTCATGGAACAGGTATAGAAACTACACTAATGATTCAGTATCTGATTTGATGGAGAAAGAGATCATACGTAGTATGATTGAAGAAACTCAAAATTGCTAATAACAAATTAGATGCCGAGGTTTAAGGGGGAGAATTTCTTTGTTTTACTTTACTTTTAATCGCAATTTCAAATGAGCTGATGTGTTTGGAAATATTTTTTCTCTGCTTTAATAATCATATATTTAATATTTTAATCATATATTTTAATGAAGTTCTCTTTTTGCAGTGTTGTTGGCTAATCAACCTGTTGACTTGCTCCTTTTACCTGGTAAATTTTTTCTTTAATCACGGGATTATAGTTTAAGCTGCATCGCCGTTATCTTCTAATATGCTTCTCCGCTTTCCCTGCTGAAGGACTTGGATTTGATAAAGCTGGAAGACGTTTAGGCCGGGGTGGAGGGTAAGTTTCAGATGGCTAACCTGCAATATATGTACTTCAAAGAGTTGCTATTCATTTCAGTTGGTTTGTTTCTATTTCTATTGGAATCCTTTTCTTTTATGCTTGTCATTGTGAAAATGAGCATTCATAAATTAAATAATCACAGGTGCTAAATGGTTTGTACTCTTTGTTCTAACTGTTTGTGATGTGTTTATATGGTGATAACGATGAAGCTACTATGACACTTTCTTGAAAAAATATCAAGAACTGGCGAAAGAGAAAATGTGGAAGCAACCTCTGAAGGGTATGTCACCATACCCCTGCTCACTTATGTTTGTGTCTGTACTTAAATGTGGCGAAAAATGAACATTTTTTATTTGCTTCGCAGTTGCTTTGTCATATTCAGTGCAGATATTGGATACCATACCTGTTACACCAGATGATGTTCTTGTAGATGCACTAATAACACCAGCTGGGTTTTTTCCTATTAGTCAAGCTGCCCACGAGTTTTGCCTTTAGATAATTTATTATAGCGGCCCAGAGTTTCCCGGAGTAAACACTGGCTGTTTAGATGCACGGTGGGCGCATAGCGCTGTTTCCACAATTGCTTCAAGTAACATCATAAAGTTTTATTCCGTATTATTCATAGATTTAGTAATTTTGTTTATACTTTTATGATATATACAAATTTTTGCCCCTTTAATTAGTTTTTTGTTTTCACAATGTCTTTATAACATTTAAACAATACTATATGTACTTATTTTAAGTAAGGATATTTTTAATTGCGGTTGTTCCTTTTCTGACTTGTCTTGTCTTGGCCAGATCAGACTAGAATAGAACAAATAAAAATAGAGTATGCCGGATCACATATCGACAATTATAAAATTTACAAATAACATGCAACTCCAGGACAAACAAATAATGGTGTCATACCCGGGGCATGCCCCGGTAATACCATTACCATATAATGGTGTCATGTTGATATAAATTAATAGAGGTTATGATTTATTTACAGAACTTGTTAATAGCATTTTGAATGTTGAAAAAAAGGAATATTTTTATTGATATTTTGTTGATAAATGAGAAGCATGGTTTTAAAAAAGATTTATATGATTTATTATTATTGTTTTGGTCTTAGACTTATTACTATTTTTATTTTTTGTTTATGAGTGCATTAGTCCTAATAAATATTAATGTGTGAAGATTCATGTGCTTTAAAAGAAATATTAAAAGCTTCATGTACTTTTATTAAGTCTTAATAAAAGCAGGGGGAAATGAAAATAAAGAGTGTCGTGATGGAGTTTTCATCATTATTTTAACCAGTTCTAAACTTATCACTATAGAACATTTGATGTTCATGTGTGTTAGGAGTTGATAGCTTAGTTATAAAAGTATTTGTTGAGTGTCCATATTTGTTAGGGGTTAATATAACTTTGTAATTTGTAATTTGCCATTGTTACATATTGCATATTGATTTTATATGTTTATTGTTTCTTTAGTAGTAGCCAAGTGGTGTAATACATTGCAATTATATAACCTATAAATGTTTGTAAGACATAATCTCCTTATGCATTAATAGCCTTGATGAGTTGATGCAACCATTTGCTTTGAACTTTAATCTCCTTCTACCCTTAGCCACTATGATGCTATCTTAAAATGACTAGGAATTTGTAAGGATTGCAAAGATTGGCTGGTTTACTGCATTAGTGCATTCAGTGTAGTGCCTAAGGAAAATATAGATTAAGTTTGAATATATTAAAATAAAAAATATAAAACCTTGTACACGTAACCTGGCCTACACATTGATCGGTTTAGGTTCAAAATTGATTTAGATAGCCAATTAGCGACTATATATAATATGAACATCATAGCAACTACCCCATATAATGTAAATATTATGGTGACCCTATTTTTCGGCCTATGGATATTTATGTCAACTTTTTCACCAATCACGTATTTTTTGGTTTCTCGTTCTGAATTTTGTAATAAAAAAAGTAAGATTGAAATTGTTTTTCTCGCTGAAGTTACTAATAGATGACCATTTTAACTATTTTCATAAAGTTTTTCTTTATTTCGTTAATAAAATATATTTTAAATATTTTTTTTATAATTTAGCAGAATCAGTCAATCCAGCCACTTCGCCCAGAACTTCATAAATTTATGCAGAATCAGCCGATTCAACTAATTCCTGAGTTACCAAATAGATACTTAATTTGTGATGTGAATTTTCGTCCAAAATATATGAATAGCCTTTTTAATTAAAATTTTAATTTGGGAGTTGATTTAACTTTATTAGGCAATATTTTTTTAATAATAGTTAAAGTTAATATATATTGATCGTATTTTTAGCCAAAAAATATATTGATCGTATTTATAAAATTGGAGTCCTAGTGGTATACTGGTATAAAACGTAGTTTTGAATTGATCTCTTATAGTGCTATTATTAAGTCATTTACGTATATGTCAGAATTATAATCATATTTGTGCAGTCTCTTTATAATCAAACCCGTCAAAGGGATAAGATAGGGAGCTGAAAAAATATTCTTTGAAATTAATTAAGGACATGTTTTTTAAATAATTATAATAGATGTTTTTGTTAACCAATAATAGAGTGACATGTTATTAATTCATAACCGTGTTTTACTATATAAAAAAATAGATGGATAAATGTACCATTGCATTTACCCAGCCCATAGACTTAGATGATTTCCATTGGGTTTAAAAAAGTATTGTCCTAATTGCAACCACTATTTTTTGTTGTTATTATCAATATTGTTTGCTTCCGAGAAAATAGAGTTCTGTGTTCTATGTTTTGGAGCAATTTTTGTCTAAGAATTTTAAGTAGATGTTTTAATTTTGAAACTATGATAGTTGGACTTGTTTCACGAGATTAGTGACTAGTTAACTATTTTTATATTTCAAAATGTACATGTGTATATGAGATAAAAGTATGAATTTGTTTTTCATTATTTTGGTAATGTGGAATGATTGAATGACAAGCAGGGCTGAGTATGAAAAATCGAAAACCGAATCAAATTAAACCAAACCGCGACTAAATAAAACCGAACAGTTAAAAAACGAAACGAAACCTTAGTAGTTTGGTTCGGTTTCGGCTTTTACCCTTCAAAATCGAACCGAACAAACCGAACTAAAATAAAATATGAAATTTCATTTGTTAAATGTAAGCACTAATCTTAATATCATTTGTTGAGGTTTGTTCCTTCAACCTTCAGGCCCAACACGTAAGCCCAAAGATTTCGAGTGGAGTGAGTGTGTGTATATCTAGCCCAACAACTATTAGATGGATCAGGAAACGAAAGGAGATAGCAGGCAATGTAAATAGGTATTATTAACTTCGTAATAACTCCCCTAAGTACAATCTACTTGCTAAAAAGGCACGTCGGCCGTTCGTCTTACGAGGCAGTTAGAAATGCTACCGGTAAGAATGCTATAGCTAGAATGCTAAGAATAGAAAGTTGCCCACCCTTTACAATGAAATAAATGCTTCTATTTATACCCACCTGATAGAGTTGTATTTTATCATGTATTATTTCTATTTTAACTAGTTTTATTTGTTGTTGTTTGGAAAATTACACACTTTTGGTGCAATTAGTTAATTTTCTTAGATAGATGTAATTTGTTTAGATTAGGATTATTCTGAGCTTAGAACATGTCAAAATCATCCAAAGGATCAAGTTTGGACCCCAAAAGATCAAGGAAAGTGCAAGGGGACAAGATCAAAAGAAGATTGAAAAAATATTTCATATACCCGGTCGGGTATAGGCAATACCCGATCGGGTATTGAGTTGATTCGGGTGTCAAAATCAGAATCTGGAGAGATTTGGAGAGACAAAAAAACGTGCAGGATTTTGAAGATTTGGCTCATACCCGATCGGGTATGCCTTCATACCCGATAGGGTATGTCTAGAAAAGTGATTTTCCGGGAAACTGCCTAAAATACCCGATCGAGTACCCTATATACCCGGTCGGGTACACCACCCTGCTACCTCCAAACACCTATAAATACACCCCTTTTCCTTCACAATAAGATCACTCCTTCTTCCATACTCTTAAGCTCAACTTAGAATAGTATTTCTTTTATATTTTTTTAGCATGTTTAGTCTCCAAATGAGGAGCTAAACTTCCATTTCTTGGTGTTGCTCTTGAAGCTTGTTGATTATTAAAGTTGTGAGTTATTTTCTTAACTTCTTTCCTTGAATATTAATTCTTCCTTTAAATACTATTTCTATATCAATGTTGGGGAGTGTTGCTAAGATGACAATTAGTTAACATCTTGACATTGGTCTTAGTAATAGCTATACCTTCCTCTATGTTAATATTGGGGAGTGTTACTAAGATGACAATTAGTTAACATCTTGATATTAACTATAGTAGGAT